GATTCTGATGAGGAATCAGAATTTGAAATTGATGCTGAAGACATTCCTCTCAGAAGGAAGCTCCCTTCCAGCAAAATGGCTAGAGTTCCTGAAGTCCCCACTGACAACATTTCATTTCACCACCCTGAAAATGCCAACATATGGAAGTATGTTTGCTTGAAGAGAATAGCCTTGGAGAGAGAACTAAACAATGGTGCCATGGATTGCAAGGAAATCATGGACCTGATTAAAGCTGCTGGACTGATGAAGACTGTGGTAAAATTTACCAAATGCTATGAAAATCTGGTCAAGGAATTCATAGTGAATTTGTCTGATGATTATGCTGATGGAAGGTCAGCTGACTTTGAATGTGTATATGTGAGAGGAAGAAGGGTTAATTTCTCTCCATCTGAAATTAACAAATTTCTTGGAAAATCAAATGAGGCTTGCCCTGAACTGGAAGTTACTGACAATGAAGTTTTCCAAACCATCACAGCAAGACAAGTCAAGTGCTGGCCCTCAAAAGGCAAGCTAAATGCTAGCAAGATAAGCATAAAATTTGCCATCCTGCACAAGATTGGTGCAGCCAACTGGGTCCCTACAAACCATAAATCAACCATCTCTACAGGATTGAGGAGATTCATTTATGTTGTTGGTACCAAGACTGAATTTGACTATGGCAGGTACATTTTTGATCAAACCTTAAAACATGCTGGTAGCTATGCTGTTAAAGGCCCAATTGCCTTTCCCTCCCTCCTATGTGGAATCATTCTTGCTCAGTACCCTGATATCCTGGTGGAAAGAGACATTGCTTGCAAAAGAGCTCCTGCTCTTGGGTTACACTACAAGTTGTTTCAGGGATCTCATGTTCCTGACATTGTCATAACATCAGCTGAGACATCATCTGCAAAAACTCAGTCCAAGACATCTGATGTTATAGCTGTATTGAAAGAGACCTGCAAAGAGCTGGAGACCAGGAAAAAGACTCTAGAAAACCTAATTGCCAAATTAGAACAGGAGGAGACTGAAGGAAACAGAAGGGAAGAGGGTGCTGCTGAAGATCAGCTCAATGCTGGAGAAAGTAGCTCCTATGAAGGTGACAGTGCTTAAAGTCTGGTGGAATTGTCAAGCCTGATGCTGATGTTGTTGATGCAAGTGTCTTCAGATTTTATTTGTTGTTTTTATTACCTATTTTGGATAACTGTATAACATTTAAGTACATGTTTCTTTGGCCCATTTGTGGCTAAAGAGGGGGAGATATTTTCTGTGTTAATCACTTGGTAGACCTCATATTTTTTCTGCAGTCATATTCATTATGCTGCTCTATATTCTCTGATTGCTTAGAGGCTTTAGCCAAAAATCTGCCAAAGGGGGAGTTTGTAAGTGTTTAGTTATTGGCATGTATTTTTGGTAAAACCAGGTGTGTGAATGTCATGACTTATGTCATAACATCCTGGTGTTTTAGGTACTTTATGCAGAAAAATTATGGCATACAGTAGCTACTGTGTATGAGTGTGTATCTGAGCATTTTGCAAAAGATCACATTTATTGCCTTCTACCAAAATCAGTAAACAGGAATTCTGATGTCATAACAAATGTTAAGACATCCTGTACTGATCTAACAGTTTTGCAGTTTGGTTAATTCTGAGTTTTTTCAGGAAGTTGAGTCATTCCTTCCAGAACAGAATCTTGCGTGGTCTTTGGGTTAACCTAGCTCAACCCTAATCTGGTTGATAAAGTCTTGTGACCAAGTCTTAAGGTTAAACCTAATTAATCTTAGCTTTTTGTGGAAACCCTAACTGAAGAAACAGCTGCTATATATTCAACAGGATTGCTGTTTGGAAAGTATCTCTTTTTGACTGAAGATCAATTAGGAGCTGTATAGTTTTAACTGCTGTAATCCAAGCAATTATCATTGTGATAAGTGACTTGGAATAGGTTTTGATTGTAAGTTTTTTTTTGTATCACTCAAAGCTTTGAAGCAAGAGTGTTTTGTGTCTCTTGACTAAAGCTTTGAAGCAAAGTCAAGTTAGGTATATGTATCACTCGAAGCTGTGAAGCAAGAGTGTTTGTGTTACTTGATTAAAAAGCTGTGAAGCATAATCAAGTGTATGTTCTGAAGAGTGTCTTCATTAATTCATTAGTCAATTGTTTTAAGTATCACTGCTGTGATTGAGGGGGAGTGAGTAGGAACTCAGGTTTAAGTAGAACTTAGATTGAAGTTGTATTGGGTAGGTCTTAAGTGAAGGAGATAAACTGGTTGGTTTATTCCTGAATTAATATATCTTATAGTGGATTTCCTCCCTGGCTTGGTAGCCCCCAGAGTAGGTGTTGTTTCACACTGAACTGGGTAAACAATTGACTGTGTTCTTTACTGTTTTTATTTACTGTCTTATAGAAAGTCAGATACGGTGTCATAACATTCACTGTGACATTGAGTATCTGCTGCCAGAATTTCACCATCCAATTGCATATGCCACTCAAGTGGTCCGCTAGTTAAATTGTCTTGGAAAAAGTGCATAAGAAGCTTTTCATCATCAGAATACGCAAACATCCTCATGCAATAGAATTTGACATGCGTCCTAGGACAATAGGTGCCCTTGTATTTGACAAGGTCTGACACTTTGAATTTTGGAGGAACCTTCACTCCCGGGATCAAACCCAAATCAGACATGTCAAAGCCCATAGCACCTAGATTCTCAAACGCCCGCATACGCTCCTCAAGCATATGCAGCTTTTTGTCAGTTTTGGTTGGCTCATTAGCATGAGACATCCAGTCATCGTAATTATCCTCTTCAAGTTAACGAGCAGGAATATGCACAGACTTTGGTTGAACAAACTATTGCTCATTATGCTACCGAGTAGGAGCGGGTGGAGGCGGATAATTTCTCACAACTTGGACCACAGACATGCCTTATTACCAACAGGACTACCAAGATTCACAACTTGACCATTCTGAAGACCCAGACCAGCATTTGCATTCAGATCCACATTCTGAGTGTCGTCGGGGTTTCCATTCACATTATGACTACCATTCGGGTTCTGAGCACCTTGGTTACCATTCATATTCTGAGCACTATTCACATTCTGCCTACCTGGATTATCAGCTAGACTGTTAACAATAACCCCTTGAGAATTGACATCAGTGTTGGATTAAGATAAGATTATAGGAAGATTCCTACCAAATTTATGAACTAGGGTCTCTACACTAAAAGGAGAGAGCACTAAAAGCTAAGATAATTAAAATAAAAGATAAACTTCATTTCTCTGATTCATACCCTAAAATGTGTCAAAGACACTACATATATAATGATACTAATGAGTCATTAACTAAAATATCCAAATACAAATAAAGCTCAATAACCATACTAATAATATAAGTTCTATTATTACCTCCTATCAATATATTAATAATATAAATTATATAATATCTTTCTATCCTTGTCGCCGAGTTCACTTGAACCTTGACCACAAGATTCTAAAATTAAAAAAAAATGATATTTTTTTATAAAAAAACAAAATGATTCATTGACTACATTTATTGAAGTCAAGGTGATAGAAATTGGAAATACTAGACCCATTGAAGTTAGAGAAGCGTGTAACCTTGGTTGTCCATACACACCTCATGAAGCACTATGCATATTCTTTTCATTATAATTTCAAGGGTTGTGTGTTTCATTCAATGGAGCACATATCTCACTCTAATTGGTTAGAATAAATTATACTGCATAAATTTTGTTTTGTGAAATTGAAAATAAGAGAGCGGTGGAGTAAAAGGTGGATGGATGGTAAAAGTTAAATAGGGCACATTTTCTCTCTCTGTCTCTATGTTTCTCTTTCTCATTTTCTTTCATTCTTATCTTTTTTTTCTTTCATTTCTATCAACCATTTTTCTTTCTTGCTTCTTTCTGGTTTGTTTTTCTTCAAACAATACTTAAAAAATAAAATGGTGGAGATAACTGAAAATAGAGGTGGTTCAGGTGGTGGTTTCAGTGGCTGGTCCGACGGTTTTGGTTGCGGCGTTGCACCAGAAGTTGAAAATTTTTCTTTTTTGTGTTATCAGACTGTGATTTCAAAAATAAAGCTCTCAACTTTATACTTGCAACAGTAGATCTAAACATATTCAATGGTTTTTCCTGTGATAATTTCAAATCTATTAATTTCTCCGGTAACAACTGTGAATCCGATGGTTTTGCTGGAGGATATGATATCAGAGCTCGTGTCGGAAATGATATAGGAGTATTTGTCGGATTTGTCGTCGGAAGAGTTGACGGAAGTGACGCCGGAATCCTTGTCGGAAGTGATGTCGGAGTCGTTGAAGGAGATGTCTCCGGAGATGACGTCGGATTTGTCATTGGAAGAGTCGTCGGATACCTTGCCGGTATTGATGATGTTGTCGAAAGTGACGATGTTGCCGGAAATATCGCCGGACATGTTGCCGGAAGTGACGTTGTGGCCGAAAATATCGCCGAAAATAATTCAGTAATTTTTATTTTAAAACAAATTAAAAAATACTTTGAAATTTTGATCGAACAAACATGGATGTGTCAAATGTGTAATGCGGCAAATTTGTGACTATAAAAAATTCCGTTCTTTAAGGAGGAAAATAAGAAAACTATGTGTTATCAACAAATTTTGCACTCTTTTAGTAAAAGCTTTGTAAAAATATGTTTCAACTAAAGACACGTCACTCTTGAACGTTGGAATTTTAAGGTCAACCAAGTCTAAAAATCAACATAATGAATGTATCAGCTCAAATCAATGACTTTAGAACAGTAGTAACATTACATTACAGGATGAAAAACTTGTCTAACAATTTGGTCAATTAATTGATCCACATCATCTAAACTCTTCCTATCACTAATTAGTCAAAACTTGCAAACAAAGGCCTGTCAAAGTGAAAAGAATTTCATGAACACTTCTAAAGAAGTTTCCTTTAGTTTAGAGATACTAATCATATCATGTAAGAAATGAAGGGGAGAATAACATTTATGCTAGTAATGATCAACTTGAGACACTTATCAAGAAAGAAGACTGTAAGAAGGCATGTCTTCAATCCGTAGAACATCATCAATCATCAACTCTTTCTCCAGCTGAACTCGCGTTGATTTCAAGATATCCTGTGATCATAGGAATAAAAAAGAAATACAATTATGATTTTTTCGCCCCCTTTGAAAGAACATCTTATTTTACATATGATCGTATCAATTTTTCTTACGTTAAATTGCATGTACGTAGCGTTTGTCTCCAACCACTGTTTGTCCATGACCACAAATGCAACGCAATAAAGTAAATCAAATGCCCATTCATTTTCTGCAAATGTTGACAGTAATATAAGAATATTAAGAAATCAATTTTCAAAACTATGTTACAGAATTTTGATCAATTCATCTTGTATACAATTCTAATTCTTACCTGAAAGCATTTGTAGAAAAACTGTTCTAATGAAAGTCCTAGGTTTGGCTGCATCACAGAAACTTCCCAGCGTTAGCAATATTGTGTTCAGTAAAATGACATTTTATATTTTATACTAGATTCGTGTTTAATTAAAGAAGAAAATGTTAAGGGTGTGTTTGAATTGACTGTGAATTTTGCAGAATCACGATATCAATATGATTTTGTCAAACTCGTTGTCAATCCAAAGAGGCATTGAAAAACATTAGAGCAAAATGCTTTGTGACAAAAAGGCTCATCCTCTTGACGTACTTGCTGCATCAAGGTCTAACATTTGCATAATCATGAAAGTAATATTTACGCCAGCAACAGCAAAGGGATACTCGAACACAACTCCCTTTCTTCCTTGCTTCATCAAAAGATTCTGAAAAGAAGTCTGCAACATCAACAGAGAAACTTCAAGATAAATGAAAATAGAGAATACATTTTGAAAAGATTGTAGCAAGTTAAGATGCTTACGGAGAATGTCTTGGCAAAGAATAGGAGGTTCTCCAAGGATATAAAACCAGCTCCTCTGTACAAGAAATCGGTCCACAATAGTAGAGTAAATAAAACTGTCTCAAGAACAAAAAGAACCTAACAACATAAGAGAGAAATGATGAGTGAAAATATAACCTGAAATCAGTAGAAGGATCTCTTCCCTGCCACCCCATTTCTTTCCATTGATCAGAAACCAAACCTCTAAGCTCATGACCGGGGAACGAAGCAGACCAAAGAGCTCTCAAAGCATCCTGTCCTTGAAAGAATTTCCGAATGAGTGACTTAAAATAAAGGTTACAAAAAATCAATACTGCTGTATTTAGTTTGAATAAGATTACAGCAAGTAAAATCAGTGTTGTCGATGGCGGTCCATGGCAGAGAGCTAAAATCCCGCCGTACTGGCCGCAAACCGTTATAGCGGGTTATGGAGGAAAACTCCGCAATATCGACCATTATTTACCATTACACCAAATCCAAAAACCTTCATGTATATCCGCCATAGCGGCTATTTGATAAACACGGAGTAAAATAAGAAAACACATGCCAGTACCAAAAAAGTTATAGAGTATACCTGGTGATCAAGCTTGGAAGCATCAAAGTAAACTTTCATTCTGTGTTTTAATCTTATAAGCCTTTCCTCCTGCATTTTTCCATACTGCTATAAGTTTTGCATATATATGAAACAAAAAGACAGTTTGAAAAACTCTAGCAGTTCAACATCAAGAATAAGAAGAATAACACAACCACTAAGCATATTCCAGAAACTAAAAGCTTCAAAGTTATGCAATTAATTAATGAAGCTAATTACAAATTAGTACACTGACCTGTAAAGGGGTCAGATTAATGCAGACTGGTTGACAGTTTCCCTTAGGCTTGAAGCAAACACATGTCAGTCCTTTACCAATCCAATGAGGAGAGCCATATGTTGCATCATCTGCATATAACCAATCAGAAGAGTTCCTCATTCGAACCCTCTTTTCCTTCTCACAAAGCTAATCACTTAGTTGAAGAAATGAATTAAATCAAGAATTTTTATTATGCTATTCTACAGACAAGTTGATTACAAAGCAGGTAATCAAACAGTGTGGTAGAGAAGAACAAGAAGAAGAAAATTTCAACAGTGTGCATTGTCGTGTTTTGGCCCGACAAGCGTAAAAAGAAAAATGACATAGACAAGCCATGAGCTATGATGTATCGTGGGACTATGGACCACAAAAAACCACGTGGAGAGATTAAGATTATATAATATGTTGTTATGTTATCCTCTCCATGTGATGTGTCACATAGAGTTTTTTAATTGTTTTTTTCTCTCTTTCCTTTATGCATTCTTGTGACCTGAAGTTAGTTTTGGTTGGATAACTCCTCGTATCCACCACTCCCACATTGTTCTTGTTTATTCCCTCACCTCATTCACACGTTGTAACAAATAGTAACAACATAACAACTCCATTAATAACCAACCTCTTGCCATCTATGTAGATTGGTTTGACTGGTTCTCTTTAATTTTTTGGAGATGGTAGGTGCAGCGTGACAAAATAATTAAAGATTCTATTTTACAAATTTAACTCTTACATGACAAGTTTTAGTTTTCTGCTCTAATTCGCTTTGCATACTCTCAAACTCAAAGTATATGTTTGGTTTTACAGTTTGAACATTTAGAATTGATTTTGACATATTTGGTTCCTCTCGAGTAGAATTGATTTTACTTAAATATAAAATTTATAATTTTTGAGTTTAAATATGATTTTTACAATGAATACATTAAAACTTATCATTCATCTCACTTTTGTACGAATTTATTCAAATATAAATTATTTTATTTCCAGACATAAATCAATTTTTTTTCATCACAGAACCAAACAAACTCAAAGACCCGACCGAGTAATGTGGTTGGCCCTCCGGTCTCAACGTGTCTTGTTGATTTTGACTTGAGGAAAGAAACAAAACCGAATTTGGCACTGAAACTGATTACTATCTGCCTATGTGCCTATCTTTGAAAAATTGAATATTTCAATTTTTAAGGTATTGAATACACAAATTCCAATAAAACACTTAAACATGATGAAGTAAATGAATGAAACAAAGAAGAATGAAAGTATATAGTTTGATGAATTAAGATAACCTGAAGAAGAAGGAATCACGAAACGCGAGGAAGCTGGTCCTCCTAACAAGGTGCGTTTCATTGTCAAGTGATGAAACCTAATCGTTCATGGAATTGATCTGCAAAATTGAATTGAGTATGTAGTGTATAATGTGATTCTAATTGTGGTGCTCTGTTCTTAGAACCTTGTAGAGTTGTGTAGTTTAGTACTTATAGGAAGTAGAGTTTTGTTTGTAGTGATTATTTTTCCTCAACAAAAACAGAAACTCTGATCGGTTCTAAGGGCCGTATATTCCAAATCAGACCTAGTGTTCTATAACTATTATCCATTATGGGCGATGGTTTTGTTTCTAAATGGAATTTTGAATTAATTACCATAAATTGTTATTTACTTTTTGGTGAAAAGGGGATATATATATATATATATATATATATATATATATATATATATATATATATATATATATATATATATATATATATATATATATAAAAGGTAATTATACACTAATGGTAATTACCTATCAAATAGAAAGTGATATTTATTATTTTTTATACTAACTCTTTTTAGATATAGGTTATTCTTCGTCTAAGTCAATATTTAATTTATTTAGGTTTTGTTTGAAAGTTTGGAGAAAAACGGAGAAAAGTATTTTTATAAATAGAGAATGATGGAGTAGACATGTGTCATGACATCTTGTTTTGGTATTGCAGTACAACAGACAATGTTGTTTTAAATCTTGGCATATTTGATTTGATTCTGGAATATTTTTATTGGATATGTTTCAGTAAATTTCGCAGATCAAGAGGATTTGTTTTAGAACAATTTTTATATTTTCAATTGTGCATTGGTTACTAAATTGGACCTTGAGACAATTTAGGAAACTTTATATTGATTGTTCCAAGATTTAAGGAGATTTACTACACAATTGGTGCATCACTCAACTTATGCATCACTCAGCTTGTGCATCACTCAAGAAGATTTATTTTGGAATAACTTTTATATCTCCAATTGTGCATTGGTTACTAAATTAGGTCTTGAGACAATTTAGAAAACTTTATATTGATTGTTCTAAGATTTAAGTAGATTTGCTACACAATTGGTGCATCACTCAACTTATGGATCAAGAAACTTCTGAACTTGGAATATCGAAGCCCTTGAAATGTAGAGTTGTATTTAAAGGGGAATCATAACCTAATGTAGTTTAAGTTTTCAACAATTGTAAAATTAGGGGAAGCATAAGTCTTAGTTTTTGAGAGTCTCTTGTGTAGTTTTGTAAGTCACCCATGTATCTTTAGATACTATGTGGTCGACTGATTGTTACTTGACTATTAGTCAAGCTATTATTCTCACTCGAAGCTTTTAAGTAAGAGTTTGGGTTTTTTTATTTGAAGTGTAATCTTCTAAATTGAGTTGTAGTTGTTGCAGACGTTGGGATTAAGACTGTTAGATATCAGTACAGTGATTGAAGGTGAGATGACGATTTCTCATATCTAGGAGGTGCCTAGGTAGAAGTTGCATTAAGTAGGGATTAGGCGAGAAGTTGTAAACGGGGGAGTTAGCTTTAAACTAATATTGCTGATATTGGACTTCCTTCCTGGCTTGGTATCCCCCAGATGTAGGTGATATTGCACCGAACTGGGTTAAGAACTCTATGTGTTGTTTATCAATCTGCACTTCTTATTTCTGTATCACTTATAGCTTCATTAATCTGGTCTAGTATCAAGTATTGTAACATCTTTCTTAACATCATTCTGATGTTGGGATTGTGTCTTGTTTGTACCATAATTTCAATTGGTATCGGAACAAGCGTCCTGATCTATTGGGTGAATTTCAGGTAGGTATATTTCTGGTACTATGTGTCTTTTGGAAAGCTAGAGTGATATCATTCTGGTAATCAGTTGACTGTATAATTATGAAGTTTATCAGGTTGGAAGAATTCTGATATTGTAGGAGATGGAGGGAAATATAATGTGTTGGGTCTCTGAATTTGAAGTTATCAATACCACAATCTATGAAATTGATAAGTGTTTTTGTTCAGACTGTACATCCCTTGTGTGATACGGTGGGAGAACTGACTGTGGTTTTGCGTTTGCTTTCGCAAATGTTTCGGTTGAGCAAGAGTCGCCACCGACTTTTTATTTTATCCTAAGGAAAGGTTTAAAAAGCACAGCAAAAACCTTTGAGATTTTTCTTGGGTTCGGGGAGTAGATTATAGAAAGGGAAGGTATTAGCACCCTTTCTATCCATGGTTATCCATGGGCTCTTAGTTACTTGCTTAGATCACTTGCCTTTTTCCAATTGTTTGAAATGGTGCTTTGTGTGTGTGTGTTTTTGAAAATGTTTTGAAAAGAGGCCAATGTGGTGGCAACCTTTGTAATGATCCATGTTGGGATGTATACAAAGGTGTATGTCTTTTGAAAAGGTTTTCATTTGTTTTTGAAAGTTGTTTTGAAAGTTGTTTTGAAAGTGTTGTGAGGTGTGGTTTAAAAACAGGCAAGCGTTTTTGTTTTGCAAGTTGACAAGTACTTAAGAGCGATCTACCCTAAAGTTCTCAAAGATTTTTGTTATGTTTTTAACCCTTTTAACAATTTTGTTCCACCATTGTATTTGGTGGACAATCTTGTGTTAGGATGTGAAAGGGATAGGCGCGGGTCGTCGTTTAGACCATAATTGCAATGGTGCCAAGTATCTTTGGGCAATTTTTCTTTAAGGGACTTGATCATTTTTAGGCAACTTTCGAAAGCGTCATCGAGGGACTATGATCATTTGAGTTATTTGTTTTGTCCAAAGAGACCTAACATGCAATATGGCCTAATTTTTGAAAGGCAACAAGTGGATGTAACCCTAGGGGTGTTAGTGTGCAAGTGTGTTTTATTGCATACAAGAGTTTTTTCTTTGAATTAGGTTTTTCTACTTCATTGATTTTATCTTGCCATACATGTCCTAATTACTAGCAATAAGAAGCGGAAATATAAAATCCTACGCTATTACAACAATTAGGGGAGAGGGATACACATTTGTACATGGGGGGTTCAACGAGAAAAATAGACAAAAAAGAAAATAGCAAAAAACAAGATATATAGAGAGAGAGAGGGAGCCCGCGCGCTGCTGGGAGGTCATCAGAAGTTCTGACTCAGCTCCGCTGCCAGATGATCAACCTGTTAGTGAAACTGGATGAGTCAGAACTTCTGACTCTGGCACCTGCAAAACAGAACCTTGTTAGTGGGGAAATCAGAAGTTCTGATTTCCCTACGCTGCAAGACAGAAGTTTGTTAGTGGAGAAACCAGAAGTTCTGATTCTGCTGAAAAGGCAGTAACTCTCAGAGGTTCTGATATCATTGACAGCAAAACAGGCTTCAGATGTGCTAACGTCAAAGTCAGCACTTAGCTTTTCCCTGTACTAATCAGAACATCTGCAATTCTGTTGTTATTCCACAAAACAGGAAACATATTTGGAACAGATCCAGCAAATAGCAAAAATGTTTCAGAGGTCAGAATCACCAAGGTCACAGGCAAGTCCTATACTGGCTCAGAACGTTCTGAGGTATGAAAATCCTCAGAACATAAACAGCAATAACATGAATATTTACATTATGTTACTTGAATATGCACAACTGATGATGCTTAACAGTGTGATGAGGGTCAGCAGGTGCTTACCTGACTGTTTGGAAAAGTTGGTGAGTGAAAGTTTAGCTTTTGGTTCTGGTTCTGGTGGTGTTCTGGACAGATTTGAAAAGGGGAAGTAAAGGTGTATACGTGTGTAGGGTCAGAAGTTTGGAAAGAGTGTTTTTGGTTTACAGAAAAGAACTGGATATTTGATGAAGTTGAAGGTGAGAAACTCAAAGTTATGGAACAAAACTGGAGATTTTGGCAGAGTTTCGGAATGCTATGTTGCTAAGAGTTCTGTTTCTTTCTTAGCAATTTCTGTTTCTTTTTCTTGAACGTCTTTGGCAGTGGTGAAGACTCTCTATTTATAGGCAAAATCCTTGTGGATGCCTTGAACATTTAAAGCGCCAACAGAGTTTGAATTTGTTCTTTGACAGAAATTCCTGGGAAGTTGTGATACAGATAGCTTTCAGCCTAGGTTGCAGCAGCAGGCGTAGATTGGGGAGAAGTGACCTCTGAAGTGGGCGGTGGCATGAAGACCCATGCCAGAATCTGTGCAAAAGCGTTTTCCAAGCCACACGTGAATGCTCAGGAGTGGTTGGAAGCATTAATGGGCATTAAATGGTGACAAGACCTGTCAATACCAACATTCTGGTAATGGAAACCAGCATTGAATCAGCAGCGTAAACCATGCTCTGGCCTTTGCTACCTGTTGTCCTAGTAAGCTCTGGAGATTCTCCTGGTTTTCTGGTACGTTCCTTGGATTTGCTTCTGGACAATCTGGACTTAGAGATTCTGTATCAGTGTAACACCCACTCTTTTGATCTTTCATCTTCTGATTTCAACCTGTTCTGAAGGAGCCTTCAGACTTCCCTGCTTCTCTTGCATTCCTTTAGCAAATTCTGACTGGGCTTGTGTAACTGCTGAAGGGGCATGTTCTGTTTGAGGCTTACATTCTGAACCACGTTTACAACTTCTGATTGAACTGATGTAGCTGCTGAAGAGCCAACTTCTGACCACGCTGAGCCAAGCTTGCAACTTCTGACCGTTTTCATCTGGAATGGGTCCAGAAGTTCTGAAGCGCTGATTTTTCTAAAAAACACTTATTTTAAAGAAACATTCTAAGTACTTAGAATTTGATTTTTCTCAAGATAAAAGCGTTGCTTCTGGAGTTCGTGAGATCATCTTGCTCTTGTAAGTGGCTTGCTTGGGCAAAAGGATAACTCAGGACTTGGATTTGTTTCAGGGGAACCTTGAAAAATCCAAGATGGTTTCCTGAAGAAAGGGAGGGCAAATTTTGGGGTACAACAGTTGCCCCTGTTCAATCTTCTTGAACCTGAAGAGTTAGATTGGCAAGTTTGCCTTTCGCGACTCGAAGGTAAAAGGAGATTGGACACTAGAGTGCCCGGAAATTTGCACTCGCATAGTAGAGTATCAGCAATGTGATGGCGGGAATGGGCTTATAGATGCCA